GAATCGTATTTTATTGATACATTTAACAGCCGGGAATTGTTTTCGAATCTTGATTCTTGGTGATTTTGGTTTTATCTAAAACTTAAATTTGATAACTGAATCACAATCAGGAGGTCAAAATTATGAATAAAACATGTCATGAACGTAAATATCGGTTTAGGTTTAGTTTTCTCAAATTTTCACCAAAATGTTTGGTATTTGCTTAGGCCCTCTGAAAATAATGGAAGTTTGTTGCTTGTCACTTGTTCAGAACTATTTAAGGAACATTATTTCACCATCTTATCTTCTTGTTCCTATAAAGACTGAGTGTATTGCCTACAAAATGTACTCTTTAAAAAAAATCATATTTTCATTTCTAAGATTCCAATTCGAAAAATTTGAAAAACGCTACAAGGTAAGACATAATTCTTCATTATTTTAAAGTAAAAACGAGAAAAAAATTATTTTGTTACAAACGGGGCTTGGATGAAGTTATTAAAATTAGCTTAATATCTATAGCATAAATTGCCAAAGGATGAAGCTAGCAGACAACACAGACCAAAATAAAATAGTTCAAGAAACAAAAAAGTTATGTCGTTTTGAAAAAGAACGAACTTTTTGGTCGCGACACATTGAGTGGTGCGCAGTTTAGTTGGTACCTACTATATGCCATCTTCAGTGCATAAAATTTTAATTCATGGAGGAGATATAAAAACCAATTTTTATTTGCCAAACGGCCAATTATAATTATCGAAGGAGGCTCAGGAGGCTACGACATATTCTAGAGAACATCATACTTGAAAAATATCAAGAACTATAACAAATGAAGACTTTATAGACTTCTAACAACCTCCGATCCATTTTTATAAAAAAAGAAGTTTATTTACAGCAGACAAAATATTCTTTGGAGTATACTTATTTTTATGAGCAATAAATGGGTATTATTACTGTTCCAAGTCACAGATTTATAGTCATAGTATAATTATCTTATTAAATAATTTAAAAAATAAATTTATTGTTAACAATAGACAAGTTAAATATTTTTAATTATAAATAAATAAGATTAATCAATTACGTACTTTTACAAAATACCACAGAAATGTGGTGTTAAAATTTCATTATGATACCTAAATTAGTTTATTTTAATGAATTTTGGCCACTTTTATGCTTTTTGAATATATATCATATAAAGTCTGTTTGTTTTAGGACTACTATCCAGATTTAATAGCAAACGATTCTATTGCCTTCTTAAGACAATCTAAAACCAACAAACAAACATCCGATAAGCCTGTCATGTTGACCATGTCTTTTCCTGCGCCGCATGGACCTGAAGATTCTGCACCACAATACTCTCATCTGTTCTTCAACGTTACAACTCATCAGTAAGTACCATTATATTATTATAGATAATAATAAAATTACCTATAAATAAACTTATAAATAAATCAAATTAGAGAAAACTAAATTTTGTAAATTGCAAAAAATATTTGTTTTATTAGTCGAAATGAATGTCATTAAGAAACATAATAAAAACCTAATTTAAGGATACATTAAATAATTAATTTAATTAAACTTAGGTGTGGTAACTCATTTTTGATGAAACTGTGAATATTGTCTTTAAACATAGTACATTTGATGTACTCGAGTACAACCAATGTACTCGTGTCCATTTTTACATAAGTAAATAAGTACTTCTTTATTAAATGACTGAGTACCGAGTACATAAAAAGTACTTAAATTACAAAACTTGAGTACAAGTACTCGAGTACCGCACAGCTCTGATACCATGGCAACACTGTTATGCACTTGCATAGTTCAGAGAAAAACCTTAAGGTTATAAATTTAAATTATGGCACTATGACATCAAATGCATTTCTGTGAAATCACCTGGACCTCACCTGGAGCTCATCTAAATCATTGCTAAGCTCATCCTGAGTTAACTATAGTTCTTGATAAGATCATTTGTGAAATTAATTTCACAAATGATCTCATCAAGAACTCAGGATGAGCTCAGCAATGATTCAGCTAATGAGCTCCAGGTGAGGTCCAGGTGATTTCACAGAAATGCATTTGATGTCATAGTGAGTTCACTGTGAGCTCACCCGATGATTATCACTGAGTGATTTTTTAATGAGTCATAAATGTTATCTGGGTTGTTTTATTGTTTGATTTTGTATGAAAAACAGACAAATAATACGACTTTTGATGCACGTTTTTTTCAGTTTGCGGTAAGTATTAAAAATACAAAAGAAACATAGAGATCAATGTAAAGTTATGTTCGTATTATTCAAAATATATAAAATATAAAGTATATAAAAACACTTTCATTTACAATTCTATTCTACTATCTACGTTTTTATAGTTTTGCATACGAATTTATAATTTCTCAGACTTGGGTAAAATGTATATAAGGTTATGTTCGTATTATTTAAAATATACAGGGTGATTCAGACTTGTGGTGACAAAAGCTCTGTGGAAATTCCTCTCATCAAAATATGAAAAAAGGTACTATAAACACGTGTCCGAAAATGCTTCATTAAGTTTTTTATTTATAGCTTAAAAACGCTTTGGCCGATTTTATTAAAATTTATATGGTTTATTAAATAATAAATGATTCAAAGATAATAAAAAATCACGTAAAGTTCCTCTAGCTTAAAAATTTACCATGAGTTTTAATTTCCATAGGGTCAAATTTTTTAAAAATATTGAGGGCCCCCACCAAATGACGGCCCCAGGGCCTCAAAACTCTTAATCCGGCCCTGCTTGTAATTATTTCCACCAAAATAAAATATGCCTGGAACAGAAACATTTTGCCAGCGATTTTGAGAGTGGTCTGCAAGATAATAAACTGAGATAAATTGTAAAGCGAATGTGTGGCGGTGTCGTGGCTGATGCATTCTGGACACCACTAATAATGAAATAAAGAGATTTAGTGAATGTGCAGCGTTCGAGTGCACTCACAGCACTTGCAGAACCGACGTTGGGGTTGGTCGGTCGGTTGATCGGCCCAGCTGAATAATTTATTGGTCAGTCTGCGTTCAAGATAGCAAGTATTTTTGCTCGGTGCCAGAATAGTTTTGTGCATTTTTTTGTTCTTGCTTGCTTGTTATTTTGTGCCTTAACTCGACGGGTAATACCACAAAAAGACGAGAAGAGTTTGCAATATTATAAAATTATGTGTCAAGTAACTACTCCATATAATTGTTTTATAAAAAAAACTGTAAAAATAAAACCAAAAAGCATGATTATCTTCTTAACATTTTATATTAAATTAATATGTAAACAGAATACTTTTAAATTGTAATACGTACAGCTTGTTTTTTATAAATTGGGATTTAAATTTGTGCCATACACAATATGCATATCGAGTTTTGCGAGCTGACATGGGAAATTTTATTAAATAAAAATAATGCATACTGTTTTGGTTATTTTTTTATTAAAAAACAAAATTTAGGAAAATAAGGAAATTTTGACGAACATAGGTATATTCATTGATCAAAAAACCCACAAAAAGCGTTTCAACAATAATTATTAACGGCAATTAAAAAATGACAAATGACAAATGTTTTAATTGTTCACGGAAAAAATGTTTTAAGAATTTGCTTACCCTATACCCAGTAAACACATACACGTTTTTTAAACGTATTTAAAATGTGTGAAAGGTCAATAAAACGTTTTACGTAGAAAAAGCAACGGTTTGATATTGGTATAAATTTACACAAATTAATTTAAACGTTAAAACAACGTTAATTTAAATATGCTTTTTAATAGTGCATAACTTTTACGTTACAACAACGTTGTATTAAGGTGTTCAGTCAACCATATATTTAAATGTTTAATTTAAACGTTAAAACAACGTTAATTTAAATGTGCTTTTTAATAGTGGCTAACTTTTACGTTACAATAACGTATTGAAGTGTTCAGTCAACCATACATTTAAATGTTTAAATTACGCTTTAACCCACAATTTTTTTCACAAATATTAAGAGTTTTAATGGTAAAATACCGTTTGAAGTAATTATTTTATGAACTGTGCAGGCAGCTCTTTCTTTTAACATTTATACTATGTTATATTCAACACGCTCCATCGAACACTTTTAAAATTACTTTTTATATATTTATTTTGTGAAATTTTTGCCTAGTTTACACAAAGACAATATGACTTCTTATTTAAAATCTGAAGGTATAAAATCTAAGAATTTTGTTCGTTAAAAAATGTATTATGAATGAATGTTAAATGAATAATTTAACTTTCTCACTTTTTTAAAAGTATATTTTTAATAAATAAAACAGTTTTTGCCAAATACGAATATACTTTTTTTAAGCGGCCATGATATACAACCTTATATGCATGTATAGAGATAGTTAAAGTGCGTCTTTTTCATTAGCGGCAGACAAAAAACTCAAAAAAGCCTAGGGATAGAAGTAAATCCATAGGTGACTCAATAGACGTCAAATAATAAAATTAATTTAGCATTTCATACAAAGCAATCACGATGTATTAATTATATTAATTATAATCGCACGGAATATTAAGTGATTATTTATTAAATTTTAATTGAACGAAATAAAGAACAACTAGTTAATTAGTATAATATTATGATGATAGACGAGTCGTCAATGTCGGAACTCCAAACAAATGTCAGTACGTCAAAATTAATTCAAGCGCAGCATTTTGACAAAGCAGTGTTTATTTTTAGTTTAGGATATTTATCGGCATTGTAAGTATTACATTACATTACATCATAAACATGGCGCCAAGTGCAGAACACACGACTGAACTTGGTAAACTTAAAAAAGAGTTTTTAATCGAAATTATTCTGTCAAAGAAAATACCAATGGGTGTTATTGTGTCTCCAGAGCTACGCATGTTCATAGAGAACAGTGACCAAGACGATTTTCACGACTCAAGTGATGAAATAGTGAAAAATAAGGTTCCTAACCCTAAAAGTGCATTGGAAGTGTTAATATTGGAGAATGACTTAAAAGTAGCCCAAATTTAACTAAAATATGCAAAAACAATGATAAATCGACTAGAACAAACCGTGAGCGATAAAGATTTAATAATAAAACTAATAAATAATGATCTCTACAAGAATGCATCAGGAAACCAGAAAAGCGGCGTTGCCGTTGTGACAAAAATATCCGGAAAACAACCGAAACAAAACGAGACCCCTAAAATTGCTCCAAAACAAATCGAAAAGCCTAAAATTGTGCCAACTACACCCACAAATGAAAAACCGAGCGAGAAACCTAAGATTTCCGGAATTACAGGAAATGAAGAAAGGATTCAATCAAAAAGTAAACGTAAAGCGATTAAATATGGTACTGGTGTGACAGACAATACTCTTGCTGCCTTTATGCCAATGTCCCATATTCACGTTTCGAAGGTAGGACTCAACAACACCAAAGAAGATATCATAAACTTCATCCAATCCAAGCTTCAGATTACAGCCGATTGTGAGGAACTTCAGGTCAAATCTAATAGCTACAAGAGTTTCAAGGTTTCCGTACCAGCAAATGTATCCTCTAAACTATTGGACACTTCCCTTTGGCCCCCTAACATTGCTATAAAAAAATTCATAACATACAATAGAAATTTTCTAGTAACTACCAGCACAATAAATCCGGTTTGATACTTGATAAATGTAAAGATCACAAACTTTTTCATCTTAATATTCAATCAGTCAGAAACAAGGTAAATGAATTAGAGTCTTTTTTAATTGACAAAGAAATCTCCATTATATGCTTAACAGAACACTGGTTGAACAGTGATGAAATTGATCAATTAACATTGATTAACTATATAATGGCCTCATCTTATTCTCGAAGCTTTTCTAAAGGTGGTGGCTCTTTTATTATGGTTAGACCAAATCTAGATTATATATGTCTAAAAAAGGTTGAAGACTTATCATCTGAAAAAGATTGTGAACTTTCAAGTATCTATGTATCAACCTTAAATATTGTGGTAATATGTGTTTATAGATCTCCATCAGGTAACTTTGCTATAATAGCAGGAGATTTCAATGTCCAATTTGATAAATCCAACAAAGAAACCACTCGACTACGCGACTTACTGGCTTCGTTCAATTATAAGCAAATGATAACTTCAGAAACTAGAGGTAAAAACTGTATAGATAACATTTTCATAAATTTTAACAAAGATACATGCTTTGCGGGTTCATTCGAAACTAACTTGTCGGATCACTACGGACAGTTATTAAACTTTGTACCCCCTGCTGTTATTTCTGAAAATAAACTATGCCGTAAACTTTGCAGGCAGGGCCGGCGTTAGCTTATTAGAGGCCAGGTGCAAAAGAAAAATGCGGGGCTTTAACTTAAAATAAAAATTTACTCTTGAAAATTAACATAGCGCCTAGCGGCAATAAACTAATAAATCATCAAACGATAAACCAATTGAAGGGGTTAGAGCTGAAACCGCCTAAGTGCATTTTTAAGTCAAAATTTCTTAAGCATGTTAGCGGATAGTAGAAAATTTTGGCTTAAAAATGCATTTGGGTGGTTTCAACTCTGACCCCTTCAATTAATATGGAAATTAACGTTTAAGAAAAAATCACACATATGTTTTCCGTGCTTAACACTAATGCTTAACACTAGTGCGCATAGAAACTATTTAGTTGATTTGTGATAACATCAGCCATTAATTTGATGACAAGACTTGTCACTAAGTGACAGCCATGCGCAACAGTGTTGCCAACCATGTGAAAACAAATTATGGTACACAACCCTCAAAATTATGGTACAATTCATAAAATTATGGTACACCTTCTAAAATATAAATAAGAGGCAGTTTTTTTTAAATGGATAGAGGAAAAAAATATAAAAAAAAACAACACTACATTTTCATTTCTAATTTAATAAACAAAATAAAATATTTAAAACTTAAATGTTTTTTTTTCAACAAATAAAAATAATTATTTCTAACAGTAACTTTGGTTTTAAAGTAAAAAAGAGATTTAATTAAATTTTATAATTTAATTAAAACTATTTTATGGATAAAACCAGATATAATATATTAACATATTATGTAGACCAAATGCACAAAAATTTTACTTATTTGGCACTATACACTTTAGAATTTCATTAAATGCAGTATTTATACTCCTAAACTCTTAAACCAACCATTGTTACTGTGATACCATTGAGTAAGGAAGGAACTTCCTTACTCAATGGTGATACCATTTACTCAATGGTGATATTATAAAGATTTATAAACTTTTAACGCTTAAACATAAACGGTAACAGTATAAATATTATTTCTTTCATTGACTATACTTTGACAGATACATAACCTGAAAAGCCTTAAATGACAAATTTTCAAAAGACTGCGTTCCGTACCTGGTCACGTGGTGGGACTTTGAAGTGTGGAGCATAGTACATACATAGGTGACGGTGGATCAAATCCAACGCAATTTTTGTCCATTAATTGGCTACTTAACAGTAAACCATTAATAGTTTCACTGCAAAGTTTATTGCGCAAATCTGTTTTAATTAAATTAATTTTAGAAAACACTCCCTCGCACGATGCATTAGAATGAGGTGCTACTAATATTTAACACAAATTTTGATAATGCATTAAATTTAAAGCTACCCATAGAAAAAATATATTTAGCCAGTTTGAGCAGACAAAATAGCCAACTGTTCAAAACAAAAATGGTATAAAAAATTAAAAACACATAAATTACACATTTATTTTTAAAATCACAAGAATTAACTGAAAAAATCGTTTTGCCGTTGAATGAGGATTAACGCAAAGTTGAAAAATTATGGTACAATTATTGATTATGGTACGCCTAAAAAAACTATGGAAAAGATAGTGAAATTATGGTACAATTTCATAATTATGGTACGGTTGGCAACGCTGATGCGCAACAACTGTCTTTAGTAGGCATCGCCATCTATTATCATTCCTTCCAGTGTGGCTAAATGTGTATTTGCAGTTGCCTGTATCCGTATGACACAGATAATATCAGATATAGTTGCCTGTATCCGTTTGAAACAGATTCTGTTTCAAACGGATACAGGCAACTATAAATACACATTTAGCAATTGTTAACATTGGACGGAATGATAGTAGATGGCGATGCCTACAAAAGATATTATCTCTGGCATCGACCACATATCGATGACTTTCTGACAAGGTATCGCAAGCAACATAAGTGAAATTTAGGGAATTAAAAATATTTTTTGTTTTAAAGTCGGTTTTAAATTAAATATAGCCTAAAGGTTTTATAACAAGTAAATAGCTTATACTTATAGCTATTTACTTGTTATGAAACCTATAGGTTATATATGGTTTAAAAGAGACTTTAAAACAAAAAATGTTTTCAATTCCCGAAATTTAAGTTATGTTGCTTGCGATACTTTGGCAGAAAGTCATCGATATTATGTTCAACATAATATGTTGTCGCGCGGCGCTTACCGGTTGCCAAAATGTACAATAATTTCGTCGAGACGCCTTGATGCGCGCGGGGCCTATAAAACGCGGGGCCGGGTGCACCGCACCGTGTGCACATGCCTCACGCCGGCCCTGTTTGCAGGCCCATCACAAAAATAGGAAATAACATATTTTTTAACGCAATCTCAACAATTTCTTGGGACTTTATTGATATAGACTTACTCTCAGCGGGACAAAAATTTGACAAGCTTGTTATGTTGGTTGAGAGCTCATTTCTTGAAGCTTTTCCAGAGAAACTTTACAACAATAAACCCAACTTTACATACAATCAAAGCTGGTTCAATCAAAGCTTAAAGAATATGAGGAATCAACTATCTTTCCTAAGCGAACTCTGCAAAATGCATCCAAATAATAATTTTATCAAAACTCAAAAAAATCAATTCCGCAACAAATATCAAACCGCAATAAAAAAAGCTAAAATTGAATGTAATGACAATTTAATTAAAAACTCAAACTCATCTATAAAAACTATGTGGGAAATCATAAATGACAAAAGAAAAAATTGCAAAATACCAACTAAACATAATATCTCTCCAAATAAATTTAACAACTATTTTGTAAGTATAGCTGAATCTTTAATAAAAAACTTAGATATCTCAAAAACCTCTAATAATATTACCAATATTAATTTAAACCTAAACTTAAAAACTAACTTCATTTTTTCATCAACAACTTATAACACTGTTAGAGATGTAATAAAATCATTAAAAAACTCAAATACTCAAGACAAATATGGACTAAGTGTAAACCTTATTAAGGGAATATGTAACCTTATTGTAATACCTTTAACTAAAGTAATAAATCATTGTATAACAAAAAACATATTCCCTAACACATTAAAAGAGGCATTAGTAATACCAATTTTTAAAAAAGGCGATACCAATGACTTAAACAATTACAGACCTATCTCATTATTGCCAATTTTCTCTAAAATATATGAAAAGATACTAGCTAGTCAAATAGTAAATTACTTTGAGGATAACAATGTTTTTTATGCTAAACAATTTGGTTTTAGAAGGAGTAGGAACACCACCCAGGCTGTACTAGAGCTAGTTAACAAAATAACAAACTGCTTTGAACAGCATAAACACTTAATTGCAGTCTTTTGCGACCTATCCAAGGCTTTTGATTGTGTTCACCATGAAATACTATTAAAAAAGATGCAGTGCTATAATTTCTCAGACAGTGCAGTTGCTCTTTTAAACTCCCACTTGTCAGATAGAACCCAACAAGTTAGGGTCGATGGAGTTAAATCCGAAAGGGGTATGATCAACTATGGTGTACCACAAGGATCAGTCCTAGGGCCCATTTTATTTTTAATATATATCAACGATCTGCCCAACCTTAATTCCTTAGGTGATCATATCCTTTTTGCTGATGACACTACTATCACTGTAAGTAACACTGATTTGGAAGCCTTGGTGATGCAATCTAACGATGTACAGTCGGGTGCTTCTGACTGGTTCTATAAGAACAAATTAACCTTAAATGACAACAAAACAGTTCATATGCATTTCTCTCTTAACAGAAAAACTACAGACAAGTTTAAATTTAGCGATAACACAAAATTTTTGGGAGTTGTGATTGATTCAAAGCTTAAATGGGATGCCCATATTGACTCTGTTTCCAGTAAGCTCACAAAAAACATATACCTCCTAAGAAACCTGGCAAGATCGGTTTCCCTGCAAACACTTAAGGCGGCCTATTTCTCTCTCTGCCACAGCCTGATTTCATACTCAATTCCGGTTTGGTGAGTGGGGTAGAGTGTTTGCTTTACAACGCAAGGCAATACGTGTTGTTGGTGGACTAGGGTACACTGAAG